GGCCGCAGCGAGGCCGGTCCTCCCCCCCCACCTGCCCGCCCGTCCGGCTCCTAGGCGTCGTCGTAGAGGCCGGTCCTTCCCCCTCCCTTTGCCGGGCGCGGCGGTGAGGCCGGTCCCCCCCGGCCGGCCAGCTCCGAGGAGGAGGCAGCGGCGAGGCCAGCTACAGAGCGTTCCTTGCGCATGCGCAGGGGACGCTCTGTCACTTTCGGGGGGATTTAAACATCCCCCCGAAATGTTTTTCAACTTTTTCGATTTTTGTGCACACGTGGGGACTGGCCCACGTGTGCACAAACCTCCCCCTCCCCCCCAAGTGCCCCCGGAGCGCTGATTTAGCGATCCGCACTCCGGGGGCAACTTGGCTATTAGATATATAGATTACTTGAGTTTGAAACAGGAGAAAAACAAGGGGGAAAATGTATGATTAAATGGATGCAGCACTTTAGAGAGCAAATACCTATGCATCAATGTGGGGAAAAGAAATCAAGTTCACAGCCAGACATTAAGAGAAAATTGGTATAAAATGTTCTTCAGATGGTATATTACTCCAGAGGACATTGTGAAAGGAAAATGTTGGAACTGTCAAGAAATATTTGGAGCTTTTTATCGTATGTGGTGGACTTGTAAAAAAAGCAAAGCTATTGGAAGGAAATACATGGGAAAATGCAGAATGTATTAAAATTTAAATTTCCTATGGAAGCCAAGCATATGTTATTAGGAATATTGCCTGACAAATAACCAAAAGTTTTGGAACAGCTATTTGAATATATGGTGACAGCGGCTGGAATCATCTATGTAGCAAAAATGGAAATCTGGCGTCTGTCCAAGCTTAGAAGAATGGGAAAATAAATTGGTTGATTATGCAGTAATGGTGAAATTAATGTCATATCTGAAAAACAGAAATTTGGGGAGAGATGGAGAGTTTATTAGGACAGCAGGGTACAGATTTAGAATGAGAAGCAATTTAAATCAGTACATAAATATATAGCAAATATACTATAATGCAAATGCAGAATGAGAACAAAATTTGATTATAAATGTATAAAGAACTGGAATTTGAATAATAATATTTTTATCTTTATTTTTTATTGTGAGATATATAATAAATTTCTTTTTAGACTTTGATATATCAAAGGTTATGGTTAATATGTAGAAATGATGAAATGTTTAATCTAGAATACATACCTATGGTGAAAATTAATAATATCGTGGTAAAATAGACTAGTTACAATTATTTATTTATTTATCTATCTATCATTTCAGTTTATCCCGCCCTCCCACAAGCAGGCTCAGGACAGGTCACAAAAAGCTCAGGACAGGTCACAAAAATAAATTCCATTACAGTCTAACGTGATTCAGTAAATAAATATCAAGTATTAAATTAATACAATAAAACCAGTTAAAGGCAGTTTAAGTGGGCAGTGCAGCAAGTTTCAATTTCAGTTCCTGCAACTGGGAACGAATGGGCTGAATCCAAGTCATAAAGGTCTCATTAGTAGTCGCCTACTGCCACAGCTTGAGAGTCCCTTGGACTGCCAGAAGATCAAATCAGTCAATCCTAAAAGAAATCAACCCTGACTGTTCCCTGGAAGGCCAGATAATGAAACTGAAGCTCAAATACTTTGGCCACCAAATGAGAAGGGAGCACTCACTGGAGAAGACCCTGATGCTGGGAAAGATTGAAGGTCAAAGAAGACGGGGACGGCAAAGGATGAGATGGTTAGACAGTGTCATAGATGCAACGAACATGAAACTGAGCAAACTTCAGAGGACTGTGGAAGACAGGAGGGCCTGGCAGGAGCTGGTCCATGGGGTCGCGAAGAGTCGGACTCGACTGTGCGACTGAACAACAACAACAACTGCCACAGCAACAGGGAGGCCACTTGGTAGACGCCCTCTGGCTCAACCAAAGGCCTGGTGGAAGAGCTGCATTTTGCAGACCCTGCGAAACTGTAATAGGCCACCTCACAAAAAAAAGCCCTGGCCCTGGTTGAGGCTAGGTGAACATCTTTCAGGCCAGGAATAATCAGCAGATGGTTCTCTGCAGAGCACAAGGTTCTCCAGGGCACATGGGGGGGGGAGGTAATCCCTTAGATATGTTTAGAAATTAAAACGTTTGAAGTAAGGATTATTGTAAAGATTATGAAGAGGAGGAGGTTGGTGAGAAATATTGTTTTTGTTTGTTCTATAGACTCTGCAAGGTATAATAGCTTTTGAGATATATGATTTGTCGGATATGACCCCTTTTCTCTTTCTGTATCCCTTTTATGTTTCTATTTTATTTTATTTAAAAAATTTTTTATAAAAATCTAGCAGTTCTACTGCAGACAAACATGGCTACCCTCTGAAACTGTATCTGGGAGAAAATCCTTTGTTAGTTTATTTCTTTCTAAGGTCCTGGCCTATAAAATGTGGTGTTGGAGAGCTCTCTCATGGCCTCCCCTATGAAGTCCAGCTTGTCCATGACAAAAAGGAGCTCTTCATCAGCCTCTTTTGGTTCTCATGTCAGAACCATTTTTGAGGCTGTTTATTGTGTCACGTCCTTTGCAGCTGAGACGCTGCTGTAAACCGTGTTGCTTCCTCATTACCTCATCCCGAGCGCAGCAAAGAAAGCACTCTGTGTAAAAGTTCAGTGTGGCACTGAGTGGTTTAAGCAGAGTTCTTTCTATAGATTCAGAAGGATGGCAGCTATTGTAGCAGGGCAGTTCACCAGTGTGCTGAGAAGATGGTGTTTTCCTGTCAGTGCACTGCTGGAAGATGAGCAGATGCAAACCAAAGCTTGGAATGCCCCGGTGTGCGTGGTTCAAGGGCTGTCAAGTCACAGCCAACTTAGGGCAGCCCCATTTTTGATGCACACTGTAGGGCCTGGTTCAAAATTAGACACAACAATATGGCTATTTTTTACAGATTAATGTAGCATATAGCCAGATCTTACGGGGGCGGGGGGCGAGGAATAGCTCACGTAGGAGAAGGCTCTCTATAATGTATGCTGAGCTCTGGCCATCTAGGGCTTTAAATGACCTGCGCTTGGAATTTGTGCCCCAAAGCCAATAGACGATCATTTCAGGCACACTAAGATGTCTTACCTGTTTGCACTCTGTTCCTGTGCAGGGCGTAATGCGGGGCACTGTTCCTTACCTTGGTACTTTTCTGACTGACTTGACGATGCTCGATACAGCTCTGCAGGACTACGTTGAGGTAGGAATCTGCCTACTGAGTGGGAGTAATGGTATTCTGAGCGTAATCCGAATGGTGCCACCGGACTCCTGCTTTGTTTAGCATTCCAAGCAGTCATTGAGCTTTTGTTATATTTTCCTGTTGCATCTTTATAGCTGTTGGTGATCTGCTGCCTCCCCCGCAAAAGAATCCCAGAAATAGAAGCAAGTGAAATTTTTATTGGGGAGTAAAGATTGCTAACAAATGCAGCTTTGGCACAGAGTTTATTTTGAAAGAATGCCTTCAAGTATATTGCTTTCCCAAATATATTGCTTTTAAACACTGTAACAGGAGAGAAGAGATTTTGATTCACACTACTAGTATTTAAATTGTAAACCAACTTTCCTACTGTGAAAGAGAATCAAGGCCTGGCAGTGCAGCATTGTATACTTGTGAGTGCACTTTTTTTTTTTTTGCTGAAACCTTTAGAAGTTCAGTGCCCTGACTTCCTATCAAAAATTAGTGCACAATCCAGCCAGTTTTACATGGGATGATCTAAAAATGTGCTTAGTTTTCATTAAAAATAAGAGAATTTAGGAAGGAGTTCTGAACTTTGATGCCTTCAGTTAAGCCTGAACTGTATGTGTATCTCTCTCTCTCCCCATACACACACACACACACACACACACATATAAAATTACCAAAATGCAAATTAATATGAATTTTAGCCTCAAGAAGGGGAGGGCAGTTCTGGATTACAGTGTTTTCCGGTGTTCAAGAAGATGAATGTGAAATTTCTGGGCAAATAAAAGGATGCATAAACTCTGTTCGAGAAGCCTCAGAGAGGGTGGATACACCTCACAAAAAATGCTCCCACTTATATGTAAGTTCCCCAGATGGAATAATAATTTCAAAGCTTGGTGGGTGGAGCTTTAGAAGAGTATTATCCACATCTGAGTATCTAAAATACAAATGCCGCAGTCCTTCTTGGTGGTTCAGGAAACCTACAGGGACAGTTCATACCTGTGGCAGCTCCTGTGTGAGTGCTGGGGGGGGGGAATGCAGTGGGGGCTGCTTGAGGGCTTGTAGCTGGGATTCTCTCCTGTGGAGATGGTTCTTGTACGAATTAGCATCTCCACAGAGGGACCCAGAGGTACAGCCAATACAATTTGCACAATAGAAGTGGCCTGAAATTCACCAGCCGTACTGATAGCCCCCACGTGAAAGTGCTGGTCCTGACAAAATGTCCGCAGGTCTATCATCACAACAGGAACACTTCCATGGGGCCACAGGTGTAGTGAACTGAACTGCATAGGTCTGGTTTCCATTGTGTGAGACTGTTCACCAGCCTCAAAAGTGTCAAAGCATGAAGGCACGATGTGGATCTTGCTCCATGCTTTAAGGACACATTTTGAATTTGCACCAGGCAATCGGTTGGTGCCTTTAAAAGTCAGGCTACCTCTTGAAAGATACAAAAGCAGGGATTTAGATTTTATGAATGCTGTTGTAGAAATCTGGTTCTGAAAGACTCATCCTTTCAACAGGCAAAGACAGCTTCTGTCCCCGATCATTGTTTTGAATGGAAGCACTTTTGCATTCCCTGTTAAAGTTATGTAACTGCAGTTGTATAAACATGTGGATTTTGAAACTAGTTTCTGTACTCTTTGTTTCTTACAGGGAGGGCTAATAAACTTTGAGAAGAGAAGAAGGGTAAGCTTGTTGTCCCCCGCCCCTGGATTCATTGGCATGTTAATGATTCACCGTTCATATTTTTAAGGGATTAGTTGCTTGGCTTTAGAGGGAGGCGCAACTGTAGGTTCTAAAGACTCCCTGCTCAGATCGCAAGGCAGGCGTCACAAGGCATAAGCTGCACCTGTGGAGCTTGCAACTTTTCCTGACCTAACCCTTGAATGCAACATGGGTGGCCGGGTGCTTCTACCTCCAAGTGCACAGTGGTGCCATTAAAGCAGGACGTCCAGGATCCTGGCCCATGGGCTCAGCGGCAGTGGGCGGGGGAAGGGAGGGACAGGCTATCATCTTGTATCATCTTGTATTGGATGTGCACATAATAATATAAAGGTGTGGTCCATAAGATCAGTTACTTAACTGCACTACAGCAAGCTTAACATTTTTGATTGGCAACTTAGAGTGAAGCCTTTATCTGTGGATGATCCCTGTAATAAGTCAGCTTTCACAGGGATTCTCTAGGACATGCCTGATGCTTGTGGAGACTTTGGGCTATGGAAGGAGGAATGTTCTGAAAGCTAAAAAAGTCCATAGATGGTCCTGTTGTATTACTTCCTGCTGGTGGAGGAGACAAATGGTCAGGGCAGGGAATACCTGCCTGGTCCATTAATTAAGTGGGAATTATGGGTACGTGTAGGTACACGATTGTAGGTGAATCTGTGGCGCAGTTTTTAACATCTGTCTAACACTGTTTCTGTGAGCAAATCTGTATTTGGCTTTGTTTCTTAATGGAAGTTCTGTTACTAACTTTCTCAGGAGTTTGAAGTAATCGCTCAGATTAAGCTCTTGCAATCCTCCTGTAACAGCTATTGCATGACTTCAGACGGAAAATTCATCCAGTGGTTCAGGAGACAGCGGCATTTAACAGAGGAGGAGAGGTGAGGTGAAGCTTTTCTATAGTTGGGGTAGATATGTTTCCCCCCCCCCCAAAAAAAAAAACAACCACACAGATATTATCACTCGTTTTCTGAGATAATGGAGGAGGGGAGAATGTTTTAGGATTCACTGGCAAAAGCACATGGAGGACAACAATATCAATATGTGGTATTTCAGCATTCAGATGTATGGACCATTCTGGTTCTTATGTGTTTGCTCTTGTACCTATGTTGTATAGTACACTATTAAATGTTGCCATAACCCCACCCCCACCCCCCCACACAAATACTTACAATGACGACTGTGACAGACTACATTTAAAATGCTGTTTTCCTAATGCAGCAAAATCAGAGAAGGGAGGTGAATAGTTAACTCTGCTCTAGAATGTTGAGCCTGAGTGGCAGGCTGCTCCTTTTCTCTGATTGGCCATCGCCAGCCGAGGGAAATAGAAAATCCACTGTGTGCTGAGGGGAGAGTTGGTTCGTTTTGTGTTCAGTGGCAGTTACTGTTCAGTAAAGTAAAAGTTCAGCTACAGGAGTGGATGTCTGAAGAGTCTGACTAAAACTCTGTTAGACAGGTTCACCTTTTGAATAAAGGGAGAGACTCCTGGTCTTAGCTGTGTTAAACATAACCTGAGAAAGATTTCCATTTTAGAATTAAGAGTCTGCTGTCAGCTAAAGCAGAAGTACGTTTTCACACAGATGCCAAGAATTGGGGTTCAAGGTTTTGTTAAAGAGTGACTGAGTAGGAGGCTGAAGCTTCCAATCAGGCCAAAAGGAATACGATTATATTTTCAGGGAAGAAATATAAATCCTGTCCAGATATACAGGGAATTGGCACTGAGGCAATCCCTGGTTTGTGGTGAAAGGAAACGGTTATAGATTACTCAGGGCAAAGAAGACACATTGTGATTACAGAAAAGGGGAAAGAATTTGATAAACTAAAAGAGTGACCTTTCCAGAAAACCTGAACAGTTAGTACGAAACTATATGCAGAACTATATGGGAGGAAAGCGATGGCGAACCTAAACAGCATGGTAAAAAGTAGAGACATCACCCTGCCAACAAAAGTCCGCATGGTCAAAGCAATGGTATTCCCAGTAGTCATGTATGGCTGCGAGAGTTGGACTATAAGGAAGGCCGAGCGCCGAATAGATTCTTTTGAACTATGGTGCTGGAGAAGACTCTTGAGAGTCCCTTGCACTGCAAGAAGATCAAATCAGTCAATCCTAAAAGAAATCAACCCTGACTGTTCCCTGGAAGGCCAGATAATGAAACTGAAGCTCAAATACTTTGGCCACCAAATGAGAAGGGAGCACTCACTGGAGATGACCCTGATGCTGGGAAAGATTGAAGGTCAAAGAAGACGTGGACGGCAAAGGATGAGATGGTTAGACAGTGTCATAGATGCAACAAACATGAAGTTGAGCAAACTTCAGAGGACGGCGGAAGACCGGAAGGCCTGGCGTGATCTGGTCCATGGGGGCGCCAGGAGTCGGACTGGACTGTGGGACTGAACAACAACAACATATGCAGAAACATTGTAACTGAAACCAAAGTACTTAGTCAACCATCTCTACTGATAAGAACCGAGAATTTGTAAAAATTAGGTGCTACAACACCATCTTGTCTGTCAACTGAAAAATATACTGTTTTACCAACAACATTTACCTCAGCCTGACTACCCCATACCATCCCTGCCTATTAAATAAAATCTTCATTATTGTTCACTGTTACACAGTCTCCAGTGCCATTTCAGGGGATTTAAAAAGAGGGCTACTGTTTTCTCCTGACAAGTTCCTGGGCTGGGCAAAAGCCAAATTAGTTTCTGTCACAGGATTTATAAAGCCGCAAATATTATCATGCTACTAGGGGTGGCCAGTTCAGTACCTGAAGGGAACTCAGAATTTTGGTGGAAAAAATCTTCCTCAGAGCAGGGAGAGTAATAGGGGGACTGTCATAGTGATGTTACAGAGCTTAGCTTTCTGTGGATGCAAGAACACGGCAATTTATACATTGGAAGCAAAATGAGCAGGCAGCAGATTACAGGAGAGCAACTTGTGCAGCTTCCCCCCAAGGTTGTACTCCCAGCTCTACCTCTCCAGTTCAGACTGCAAAGGTGACTCCAAACTGTTTTTCTGCCCCTCCCTCCTTTTTGGCTTGTAGGTAGTCATCATCTGAAGGCTGGCTTCTAAGCCATTAGGACACTTTAATTTTATTTTGTTGAATCCAAGATTACCCACTGAGAAGGTTATCAGCTGATCATTTCTAACCCTTAGGAAGTAACTGGCTTAATCAAGGAAGGTCAGCACGTATAATGCAACACCATCCTATGGCAGATAGCTATGGCACGGAGTTCAATCCCTCACAAAAGGAAGACCCAAAAGGGGGTTAAAGGCCATGGTTCAGTGGTAAAGCATCTGTTTTATATGAACAAGTCCCTGGTTCAATCCCCAGTATCTCCAGTGATTGTGTGTACTACAAGATAGTGACATTATCATACTTATAGCAGGCATCCACTAGAACTAACACTAAAGTGAATAGGAGAAAACTTCATACTAGTTAAATAGCAATACTTTCCCACACCCTAACTAAAGCAGCAGATCAATCACATTCTTATACAGGTCATATAGTAGCTATGAAATTTGCCTAGCATCAGAACCTAGCATCAGAACCTGGAATAGTCTCTCTGGGAATAGTACTAGCACACTGTAGAATGAAAGAAATCTATTGAAAAAAGTCTTCTGTTGCAAAACTTGTTTGGATTGTGCTGATTTGAAAGATTTCCTGTCCCTTTCATTATTTTCTGACCCTCTCCTCTTCTCTCTGAATGAATTGCAGTTTGAGCTCTCTAAAGCAGACAGCCAGTTGCCAGAATAACAAATTCTGACAAATGTTGTTAGATTTCCTATTTGTTTTCATTACTGTAATGACAGTAACAAATGTAACACTTTCACTTATAATAATAAACAAATGCATATCCCTGAGGGGAGGAATATAACAACAGAAGGTGCTGTTAGTGGCCTTAATTGCTTCAGAATCCAGTTTTAATGATATTTAACCATGTATAAATTACATCATGACTATAATTTATAATGTATTAATAATTTAAGGTCTTTGCTGAAGATGTCAGTCTGAATATGCTGACTTTATTCATATTTTGATTATGAATACTTTTTGGAGGGAGATACTGAATTTAATCAATAAAATTATTAAATACTCAAAAAGTATCCTGGTTTGATAACTAAAACTTGTGGTTAAACAGCAGACTAATATATTCTAACTTCAGCTAAACGGTTAAAAAAAGCATATCCAATTTTTGAGTGGTAGTGTAACAAGTTACTCAGGTATTCAAATGGACAAAAATGCTGAAAATAACCTTTCAGAATGTCCTGCAGCTATGAATTTCAAGGGAACATTTCCATGCTGCTGTAAATTCTTGTATAGTGACAGAATAGTTGTGCAAAAAAACCTCCTCCTGAAAGAATTAAGTAAAAATAATTCCATGCGGATAAAATATAAAGCTGTATTTGTGCAATCTGCTTCAAGTAATTTTGAAAAAAAAGATTATTCAAAGTGACGCCTTAAAAATTCTTCTAACTGGGAGCCAAGTGCTTGCTATGCTTTCCAGCTGTCACCCAAAATGTTCTTCCCACAGACTGTTTTGTTTTCTTACAAGGTAGCAGAATTGTATTTAGCCTTGACCACAAGGTGGCCTCTCTTTTACAGCTATGCCCTTTCTTGTGAGGTTGAAGCAGCTGTCGACACAACGACCACGTCGCCCAAACCTCGGAAGAGCATGGTGAAGCGGTTGAGTCTGTGAGTGTCATGTGTGGGGTGGTGGCTTTTAGGTGAACCGGCATGAGCTCTCCCAAAGCACACTACCGATAGCTGCACTCCACAGAGGAAGTTAATTTCCCTGACAGAGCAGAACTTCTCCTGAAGAGAGGTTTCACATAGAGTTAACATTCACCAGTTCTCCCTGTAAAACAACTGAACACCTCAGCCATTGTCGCAAATCAGTACCAAAAGGCAGATTACTGATGGGAATGCCAAACAATGTGATCCATGTCCCCTGTAGGGGATTACTCAACTTCTTATTCATTTACTACATTTAAAATATATACTTTGATTCAATCTGCAAAAACCTGGGGAGCAGGGTTGTCAGTCCTCTGACAGGTCACAAATTAGGCAAGCATGGGCTATGTGAAATCTGAAGGGTTACAACAGGGGTCCCGGACCGTTTTGAGCTTGTGGGCACACTGGGAATTTTGAGACGGGGTGATGGGTGCCAACCCCAAAACGGCTTCCATAGGAAGCAGAGGCAAACTCCAGATGGCTTCTGCAGGAGGTGGAGCTCAACAGAATACCCTCCCCCCCCCCTGCACCTCTGGGGAAGAAGGAAAGTCTGAAGGGGAAGTAGAACGACACACTGGCTAAGGAAAGCCCAGATGCTTGGAAGCCCTCCTAATCCTCTAGTGGAAAGCTCTTGCATTTGAATGAGGACAGCCAGTAAGAAACCCTGCCTTACAGTGGCCCTGCCCACTTTCTGAAAAGCAAGGAAGTAGTGGGGGGCACCATGGCCACCACGCTAGGGAACCCCGGGTGATAAATGGTTCAGGATTGACATATCGGCTTTAGTTTGTTGTACCACCGCACCTCAGAATAATCGTTGTGGGTATATATGTGTGTGTAAGTATTGCAGTGTGCGACTGCAATAAAAAAGGCCAGTGCTATGCTTGAGATTATTAGGAAGGGAACTGAAAACAAATCAGCCAGTATCATGATGCCCCTGTATAAATCAATGGTGCAGCCTCACTTGGAGTACTGTGTACAGTTCTAGTCACCACACCTCAAAAAGGATATTATAGCATTGAAAAAAGTGCAGAAAAGGGCCACTAAAATGATCAAAGGGTTTGGAACACTTTCCCTATGAAGAAAGGTTACAGCGCTTGGGGCTCTTTAGTTTGGAGAAACGGCGGCTGAATGGTGACATGATTGAGGTTTCTAAGATTATGCATGGGATAGAGCAGGTTGCAAAAGAGGTACTTTTCTCCCTTTCTCACAATACAAGAACTTGTGGACACTCCATGAAATTGCTGAGCAGTCCGGTTAGAACAGATAAAAGGAAGTACTTCTTCACCCAAAGAGTGATTAACACATGGAATTCATTGCCACAGGAGGTGGCGGCAGCTAGAAGCATGGACGGCTTCAAGAGGGAATTAGATAAACAGATGGAGCAGAGGTCCATCACTGGCTATTAGCCACAAGGTATAGATAGGAACTCTGTATGGGGCAGGTGATGCTCTGTATTCTTGGTGCTTGGGGCGGGGGCAGCAGTGGGGGGGCTCCTAGTGTCCTGGCCCCACTGGTGGACCTCCTGGTGGCACCTGGTATTTTTGGCCACTGTGTGACAGAGTGTTGGACTGGATGGGCCTTTGGCCTGATCCAACATTGGCTTCTCTTATGTTCTTATACAGTGTACCGAAAAGGATATCACAGAGAAAGAACATTTCTTGCGAAAAAGGGAGCTGTGTACTGTATTGTGTGCAGCGCCCTACCAGCCCACTCATTTGTTGTTTATCTGGGTTTTTCCCAGGCTGTTTCTGGGATCTGATCTACTTGCCAACAGCACCCCTACCAAAGAGCAGCCCAAGTCTACTCCGAGCGGGAGCTCTGGCGAGAGCATGGATTCCGTCAGCGTGTCCTCCTGCGAGTCAAATCACTCCGAGTCTGAGGACGTCTGCATCACCCCCACTGACACCCCCGATGAGCCTCAGAAGAAGGTATGCCACGGGTGGGCCTCTGGGAAAGACCGACGGCTCTTCATTTCTAGGGAGAGATGCTGCAGCATGGGTGCCTGCCTTCCTGGAAACACTCCGCTGCACACTGTACGCTCCCCCCCGCCCCCGAGTCGGGGTAGGTGCGACGCCCACTGTAGTTACTGTGTGGTGAAGGAACTGCTCAAGGGTGCCTTCCTCTGTTCATGTGTTCAAGGGCTGAACCCCGGGTTTAACAGACCCTGTGGGTGACGCCTGCCATGACCCCTTACTCCTCATCCTCTACTGAAAGGGAGCCCAAGTGTACATAACCGAACTGAGTGCATGTTCATCCCCCATTCACGCTCCCTCTGTGGCTTTCCCTCTGTCAAATGTTTGGCAGAGAACCGTGGGGGGGGGGGGGTTGCCAGTATTCTGCAAAGTGCCATGCACACTAGTGGGGCTATATAAGCCCCGAGAGAAAGACAGTAGTGACCTTTTTATAGCTGAGTTTTTAGCAGGACTAAGCTATGCCACCTGCAGCCTCCGAAGGCCCACGTGGAAGGCCCTGCGTAGAGATCATGGCCAGTTCCACGGCCAGTCCACCCAGATGACCCCACAACATGGAGGGCACTGATGCACAGCACTGGCCCAGTTCACTCCCAGCCATCAGTAGCCTGTGGGGGGGGGGCTCTCTTCTTGGACCCACTATGTTATTGCCTGGGTGGTCCCAGCCTCCATGGCGCCAGTGTCACAGGGGCTTGGCTTGGACCCAGCCAGCGGTGTCAGAGACCCCAGGGGGGATGGCGCACCTTCCTCAGAGTATGGGCCCTGCTAAAGAAGAGATGAGAGAGAGAGAGAGAGAGAGAGAGAGAGAGAGAGAGAGAGAGAGAGAGAGAGAGAGAGATCCATGGTGACCTTGGAGCGCTGTCACAAAACAGCACAGAGACCTTGGTCATGAAAACAGCTTAGTGTCTGCTGCCATCTGCTGGCCTGTTCATCTAAATGCAGGACAGAAGATTGTGGGCTCACATGGATTCAAAAACTATCCTATACACTTAGAAAGAAGGCAACCCTGAACGTAAGATGACCCCCCCCCCCCAAAAAAAAAGTTATATACAAAACACTTTTTATTGCTGGATATAAGTGTAACATATATGCAAACATGAGTTTTGGTGGCATAGCAAGGAAAAATATAACAGTTCTGTATCTGAGTAAATACATTATCTCAGTCCTAACATGTTTTGGCCCGTATACAGCTCTACTTCAGGGGAATGTTCAGGGAAACAGCAGTTGTGATTACACCTATAGTTAAATGCTCAGTGACCACACCTGCCTAAGAAGCAGCAATCATCTGTCCTCCTGACAGCAGAGATGATTGTGAAATCTTATAGGGGTGGACTTCATAAGCAAATCTGGATCTTCTTCCATTGGACTGCTCTTCGTATCAAACCTGAAATACTGCAGGGGGGTGTTAAAATAAAGGTTTGTTATTTGGTGGAGTTGGTTTGTGTCAGGTTCTGGGTTGCTATTGTTGCTTCTTTTTTTTGGTGGATTCTTGCATTTTCAACAGTTCGAGATTCTTGAGTGATACATAGTTTCAAATTCTCAGGCATTACATTGGTTGGGCTAGCGATATGGAAGGGAGATTCTCGGGTTTTACGTTTTTCCACATTTGTGTTTTTCCTCCATAGAAAACAATGGAGGATGGCTGGGTCCATTGGTCCGATTCTGTGGGCCCCTGACATTTCTGTGTTTGAAAGGGCAGATATTTAGGAGCTGCTGTTTCTGTGATCCAATGGGTTTTAGGTACTTTTTTTAGGTACTGATACATTGTTAGCTGCCTCGGGTTCTTAGAAGGAAAGATGGGCTATAAAAGTTTTCTAATAAAATAAGCAGAAGATGGGCAGCGATTTCTGAAGAGGCCTCCGATGTGAAACTGGTCAAACGAATGCGCTGCCTTCAGAGTAACTATTTTTCTTAATTTGTGTTCTCCCCGCGTAGCTCTCAGAGTCCTCCTCCTCTTGTTCCTCCCTCCATTCCATGGACACGTCTTCCTCAGGGGTGTCGTCCTTCACCAACCCTCTGTCATCTCCGCCTTCACTGGCCAGCAACCCCAAAATCCATCAGCGCTCCATCTCTGTCACCTCCATTACCTCAACCATTTTGCCTCCCGTTTACAACCAACAGAACGAAGACACCTGCATCATCCGCATCAGCGTCGAAGACAACAATGGGAACATGTACAAGAGCATCATGGTATGAAGCAGAATATTGGGGGGGGGGGCGCTTTACTTTGTGTGGGAGGATAGTGGCCATTCGTACTCTCAGGACACTGAACCAATTCAAATGTTTGTTCAGTAACTATGTGTGTGGTGTGTTTACATTGCATAAATGTGTTTCACTTCCCCAGAAAACTCAGACGTCTGAGGGGAATTTTGACGAGGGAGATTTCCAGTAGATCTGATTCATTGCAGTACCATAAAATTGCAGGCTGTATTATTGGGTGGGGGACAACTGGAAAAGGGGACAAATAGGATTCTTTTTTTTGGAAGGCATTTGAGTTGGACTAGAGGGTCAGTTCTAGGTTTTTCCTTTTATTTTGATGGAGCTTTGAACTGAAATTTTAATGTGAATATATGGTTCTGGAGACTTGTATCCATCCATGCAGTTCCCAAGACTTAATGACTCTTCAGTCATCAGAAGTTTGTGCTGACTGTCCCATCCCACTTTGCCCGTGATGCTATTCTTGAGGGTCTGCTTATCCTGCCTTCCAACCCCATTGTGTGGTTGCAAGTGGCTTAGTTGTTGAAGCAATAGAGACTGGCTGACTGAGCCCCCCCCCCCCGAGCAAAATTGGGAGAAGAGGTTCAGTGGACTTTAGTTGGAGGGGGATTGGGAAAGTCCCACTCTACAGAATCCACAGATGGTAGGATAACCCCATCTTTTGTACATCACCTTGAACACTTTTTTTTAATAGAAAAGTGATTACACCGATCTAATAACAGTAATAATAAGAGAAGTAGTAGCAGCAGTAATTTGGCTTACCATCAGCCAGAAATTCATGGAAGCACAAACCAAACAAGATTATGGAGGAGGGTGAAACAAAGATTCTTTGGGACTTCTGATTATAGACCGATAAACACCTGGAGCATAACACCCCGGATATCACCATTGTAGAAAAAAATGAGAAATAGGGTTTGGACCACTGACATTGCCATCCTAGGAGACAGCAGAATGGAAAAGAAAGAACAGGAGGAGATCACAAAGTACCAAGACCTATGGCTAGAATTAGAGCACCTCTGGGAGAAAAAGGTTACCATCCTGCTAGTTGTCATTGGAGCCATGCCTAGAAATCTCAAGAAACACCTGGACATTCTGGGCATTGAGCAAATAACACCAGCTCAATTCCAGAAGACTTGGAACAGCAAGAATCCTGCAAAGATACGTCTGCAATTTCCAAGAACTTGGCTAGATCTCAAATTGCAGAACACCATCTACCAGTCAAATATCTGACTGTGACACCTAATCATCATCATTATCATCCTCATCAATCAGAGATTTTAAGAACAGTAAAAATTACCGTATCCAAACAGTGTCCAATAAGTTCAGCATTCTGATCGCAGCAACTAACCAGCCGCCTGTATAGAGATAGCATCACACCAACACATGTGGTCTGCCTTTTACTCAAGAAATGTTTTCAAAGCCATGCGTACCAGGAGTCTACCAACTACACATACTTAGGAGCAATGTTCCCTCTAAGCTGTGGAGTCTTATGAGTAAAAATTCTATGTTGTGAGCTACTGGCGTTAAAGTTGTGAGCGAGCGATTTGGCTACTGCATAAATTAGTTTGATCTGGAGCCATCCTTCCTGAGCTAAGAGAAAAATTCGTGAGCTGGAGGCTAAAAAAACTGTGAACTAGCTCACACTAACTCAGCTTAGAGGGAACACTGCTTAGGAGCACATGCTACCTACAGTCCCTTCTATACGTGTGGTTGCCATCTTGTATGGACAGAGGCAAGGTATGTATTGACCATTCACAAACAACCTCAGTAACCATGAACACAAACCCTAAAATAATTCAGTGGTCAGTTCATGCGTACTGGAGCATCATGTGCATGGTCCATATAACCGTTGACTGCACACGGTGACTCTACTTATCAGGAGGATCTGTGCATAGCAGTTAAATTCCCCAAATAAATAAACAAACAAAAATGGTTAGTGGGCTCCCTTATGTGCAATTCTCGCATCTGAAAAGGACTAAGAACTATTGAAATGGCATAAACAATTGGTACATACCAGAATCTCTCCTCTTGTTTGCCTGCCTACCCCTGTAAACACTTTCCCAAGGGAAGCATAGGCCCCTTATAATAATAGCCCAGTGTTTTAAGTTGGTGCTTTTGATGCAAATCCAAGTGGAGGAACTTGGTTCAAGCTGCAGGATCACCATGGTAACACTTCTAGCCTTTCCTTGGCTGGTGCCCATCCCCAGTGGAGCTCAAGCTGCCTCTCTCTCTCTTCCTTTCTCTCTGGGCAGGGGTATTCTCTGTATACATTTTTTATTTTGCTACCACATTATGTCTCTCCACCAAGCAATTTGAACAGACGTATGTCTTATTATTTCAAAAAAAGTCCAACAAACAAACAATTTGCGCCACATGGAAAGATCTAGTTTTTTAAAAAAGGGACACCCCCACCCCGCAGCCACAAAAGGTGTCTTCTGTGGGATATATCCACGATCTGATCTTTGCTGAGCCCACATCACTTCCCCAGAATAGTACACAGACAAGGGAAACGGCGAAGCATTGTCCTCCCAGGTTTTCTGATTCACTGGAGCCCTAAGCAGAGCTTATTTGTACAGGTCGGTATTTCTCCGACGCTTTGATTTGTCAGGGAGGAAACTTGATGCAGGTTTCACTGTTATACCCGGAGATAGTTTTGCAGTCAGTTGCCACAACCATGGACAAGTGGCCTTCTTTAAGCACCAGCCAGGCTGGATGTTGAGTCCCAGTGGCCAGCCCTCTCCCCTTGCCTGCCATTCAGGCCACAAGAAGGCCACTGTATTTCCTGGGATTTCCCTGAACCCGTTCAAGCCAAATTGGGAAATCCCAGTTCTGCGCCTTCACTTGGGTCAATATCATTGCTCTCTGGGGCTTCCAGTATAATGGCTTAATTTTTCAAAATGCATTTCAGCCTCTCTTATTGTAGAGCAGGTAGAGAAAGAGGTACTTTTCTCCCTTTCTCACAATACAAGAACTCGTGGGCACTCCATGAAATTGCTGAGTGGTCGGGTTAGAACGGATAAAAGGAAGTACTTCTTCACCCAAAGAGTGATTAACACTTGGAATTCACTGCCACAGGAAGTGGTGGCGGCTACAAGCATGGATGGCTTCAAAAGGGAATTAGATAAGCATATGGAGCAGAGGTCCATCAGTGGCTATTAGCCACAAGGTATAGATAGGGACTCTGGGTCAAGTGATGCTCTGTCATCTTGGTGCTTGGGGGGGCCAACAGTGGGAGGGCTTCTAGTGTCCTGGCCCCACTGGTGGACCTCCTGATGGCACCTGGTATTTCTGGCCACTGTGTGACACAGAGTGTTGGACTGGATGGGCCTTTGGCCTGATCCAACATTGGCATCTCTTATGTTCTTATAGTTTGGTAAGCAATTTCAATTAGGAGCCACCACTCTTCTACCACCAACAACATCCGTGGTTTGGGTTGACTCTGGTCCTGGGGAGGGTTTGCGTTATATCATCACACCAAGCTGAAGATCTCTGATGCCGATGATAATTGTTAGTACGCCATCTGAATCATTTAGAGATTGCCATCAAAAGTGTACCATCACTAGCACTTTGTTAATTGTTGGATTGTTTTTAATGCTTAATGCTGTTTAAATTTTGTACATGGTTTTTATGGTACAGGGTACCAACGCTGTCAGCCGCCCTGAGCCCACTTGCGGGGAGGGTGGGGTATAAATAAAAATAATAAATAAATAAAGGAATAAAGCACTAGTATAAGTAATTCACTGCTTGATGGACATTTCATCATGGATGTATGTTGGCCTAAGAGAAAGAGATTTTTTCCTTTTATCAAAAGTTGGGCTATTATCTGTCTTTTTAACAAAATGTTTTTTAATGAGTATTCCATCTGAGATTTAATATCAGAGGGACAGCCATTCTGGAGCGCCATGAACTGATGCTAGGTAGTGAGTAATTAAAGCTTGCTTGACATTTAAGTTCAGAGAATAAGACAAACGTTACAAAAAAATTGTCTTTCCAGTTGACCAGCCAAGACAAGACTCCGGCGGTCATCCAGAGAGCGATGTTGAAACATAACCTGGAGTCCGATCCTGTAGAGGAGTATGAGCTTGTGCAGGTCATCTCAGAGGACAAAGGTAAGGAAAACAAGGCTTCGGTACGTGCTTCTCAGAAAGAACTGGCCTTTGTCCTGGAGACAGAGGATTCAGCTGTGCAGAGAGTTCAGCTGGGCTGAACCTTCCTCTGCTCTTTCAGTGTAATTTCATGTGTGACTGAATAGTGGCCTTGCATCCATTTAACAGGACAGCTTCATTTCCCTTCATTATGAAGGCAATTCCAGTGTTGCTTCCTGAAGATCATATGCCATGAGCGCTAGAACTTTTGCCATCGCCCCACCCAACAGTTTTTCAGTTTGTAATCACACCAGGGGCCAGTACCCACAAGACAAGAGTTCACAGGGTGGGGATCATGAACCCAACCTGTGCGTATTTCCTTAGTCATACTTGATTCGCATGTTCTCCTCTGTTCCCCTCTGTACTGTTTCAACCCCAGATCGGGACTGTGGCATGCGTGCAAAGCAGGGGTCATTTCGTAGAAAAAGAGGTGCAGGAGCCTATTAGCATATAACTCATTAGCATATGCCACACACCCTGACATCACCGGAAGTGTGTCAGAAGGGGAAGCAAAAAAGGGGGGGAGGCATCTTCAAAAGCCTCCCCTTCCCTTCCCCAGCCGGCCTGCCAAGGTGGGGTGGGGGGGAAGCGAAGAGAGAAGGGGTTTAAACTTTAAACCCCTTCTCTCTATAGACTCGCACCTCAGGGGCGGCACGATCTTTCCATTGTATTCTATGGCCCCATAGAATACAATGGAAAAATCGTGCCGTAGCTGCGGCGCAACTCTAGAGAGAAGGGGTTTAAAGTTTAAACCCCTTCTCGCTTTGCTTCCCCCCCCCCCAGCCTGCCTTGGCAGGCTGGCTGGGGAAGGGAAGGGGAGGCTTTTGAAAATCCCTCCCCTCCCTTTTTTCTTTCCCCAGCCAGGCATTTAAATCTCCCCACAGTCTCTCCGCAAAAGCGGAGAGGCTCAGGGGGGAAAGGAGGACATGTCTGTGGCGGGCTGGCTGGAGAAGGAAGAGGAGGCAGGCAGACATATCTGACTTCCCTGCTCGATCTTCTCCAGGTGTCCCGCGGTGGGGCACCTGGAGAAGATCGGGGTGGGAAGCCAGGCATTTAATTCCCCCCCGGGGGGGCAGGGCCTGGGCTTGTTTCTGCCGGAGCACTGCTCCGGGGCGCTCCGGTAGGAAACGACCCCTGGTGCAAAGGCAGCTTTCAACTCATGCTGATAGATCAAGATCGGTAGCCGTGTTCGTCTGTCTGTAGAAAAGAGCAAGAGTACAGTAGCACCTTAAAGACTAACAAAATATGTGGCAGGATATATGAGCTTTTATGAGTCACTGCTCAACTCATGCTGTCATCCCAAACTGAAATGGGTGGGGGGTGGGAGCCATTTGACCCGCTGCAGAAGACCACACGGTCTCCACCCTGTGAACTCCATCTCTTGGAAATCAGCCCTCAGAAACAGCATGGTGGATAACCTCATGTTATCGATGTTTCCTCTCTCTGCAGAATTAGTCATCCCAGACAGTGCAAATGTCTTTTACGCCATGAACAGCCAGGTGAACTTTGACTTCATCTTACGGAAGAAAAACTCTCTTGATGGGGAGGTGAAACTGAGAAGTCGGTCCAGCTTGACTCTTCCCAGGACCACCAAGAGGGGGTGCTGGAGCAACAGAAACAGCAAAATCACCCTCTGAGAGTGGGCCAGCCGACACAAAAGAGATGGGGGGTTTTTAAAGACACCGATTAAGGCATCTAGTATTGCAAGGTCTCCGGAAATGAATGTGTCAGTATTCAGCTTTGGGAAATGCAAAGCCAGCGTTTGCTGTTCAGCATATGTAAATTTAGATGCGGACAAAATGGGACGGAGCGGAGAAGAGACCTACAGCCACCCTTTTAATTTTTTTCCTTTTTTTGCACAGTGTTCAAGAATACAAGGCCACTTTTTTGGCTGGGAAGGAAAAGGAACTGTGCACCCGACCAGACAGCCCTTCCAAGTCACCTCTTCTTCAACTACTCTCAGTTCTCTCTTGTGCCAGTATTAATTCGGAGTACTCTGGATTTATTTTTTATGAATGGAAGAAAGCTGTCGCCATTTAAGCACCATCTGTTATTTACAGGAGGAGAAGGTGCATAAAACTGACAGTTGGCCAAATCGCAGCAATGAATGGATGGTGCAAATGGGCTGCTGCTTCGGGAGAGGTAGCAGAGCTGCTGCTGAAAACAGGGAGGCCCCATCATTCTCACGTCACCCTGCCTCAGTCTCCGGAGACACATCAGGCACTTCTGTCTCATTGTATTGGGCTGGGCTTTTCCCCCCAGCCATGCGATCAAAGCTGGAACAAGTGCATTTCCCACCCAAAGAACATGAAAGTAAATACAGGGATGCCCTTTTGCGTTGTTTGGTAGAGAACAAGTCAAAATAATGCAGACACTACTCCTTTTAATGCCACTACATTGTTCTCCTAATGCTATGCTAATCTATTTATCAAAAAAAAAGAGTCAAAGTATGTATCTTTGAAGAGTGCAATTTTACACCCCTTCAGGTGTGGAGCTGTTTACCTGTATTCAGCCACATTGGCATTGTGGCAAAACATGTAATCTTTTTTTTTAATAGCCTACAAAAAGCAAAACACATACACACACAACTTAGTTGCCTGCATCCTGAGAAATACCACAGCACTTTACGATGCGTGTGGAATTCGTTAGGCTGAAAAGGAAAAGGAAAATCTATGGGATCTTCCTTCTCCTAGAATACGCCTCTCTAACTTAAATGAGCTTCCTGACATGGTACAGCCCTTAAAGGGTTACAGGATTTAGCTTTTCTTCTAGAGCCTTGCCCTGGTCCACCATGCTGCTGTTCTTGGGGGACTTTCTTTGACAGGCATGCGAATGACAGGGGAGGTGAGCGGTCTCTCTCCCTTCAGAGCACAAGCGATAGCGGTGCAGAATCACAGAAACGGTCGACCTAAAAGCCATAAGGGAAACACTGGATTGTGAGCAGATCAGCTGCAACTGGTGAGGTAGTGCCGTGGACAAGAAGAGGCAGTCCGTGCCCAGCCGTAGGCACCCTTACGGGCAGGTGGCCCTCTGCCACTCCAGCTGCCGGGTGTCCCTTGCCGATAAGCGTGTGTGGGCTCCCCTCTCTCCCGGGTCAGCTTTCATCCAACGGCAGTGGTACCTTCCTCTTTTCTGACCCATCACGCCACCTTCTCTGGCTGTAGCTGGAGCCAGTGTTCCCTCTAAGCTGAGTTAGGGTGAGCTTGCTCACATTTTTTTATCCTCCGGCTCACACGTTTTTGTCTTAGCTCAGGAAGGATGGCTCCAGAGCAAACTAATTTTATGCAGCAGCCAAATCGCTCGCTCACAACTCCAGTGCCAGTAGCTCATAAAGTAGAATTTTTGCTCACAAGACTCCACTGCTTAGGGGGAGCATTGGCTGGAACAGTCCCGTACAGAACAGGTAGAGTTCTCCCCCCACCCCCAAGAATGCCTTTTGTAGAAGCCAAACAGAATGGCACCAGTGCCAACTCAAGCAATTACGTGGAAGCAGGTTGCCTTGAATTCAGTAGGACTGACTTCTTGTAAGAAACTACAGGTTGCAGCCATGGCTATGCAAGGAAAGAGAGGTGGTTGTTTTCGCTGTGAGACCGTGGCCAGGATCTGAAAAGTTCCTTGAGCTCTTGTGGGCCCATGGAATTGGGCAGCCTGCCTTCCCTTTATCCTGCCAAACTGCTTTTGAAATTCCTCTCGGTTCCAAAGGCCATTTGACATGAGGAGACAGGGTGTGTGCATGCTACTGTTTAAAACCAACTGAAAGCCCTCTGGAGCTCTTGCATACATGATTCTTGGGGTCCTGGCCTGTGTATCTAACAGCTTGCCACTTGACCTTGGTCAGAGCTGTGTGTATATGTTACAGTTGTGCGGAAGCACAGGGGAAAGCAGAGTGCAGGGGGGTTGGACGACTAGATGAACTGCAAGGTCCCTTCCAACTCTAATATTCTATTCTAAGTGCAGAAGCCAATCCTGAGTGCAGAATTCAGCTTCTGAAAAATCATAGCTTTAATAATTTGTTTGAAACTGGTTTTTTTCTGGCTCGTATGGATGCGGCACTGTATGGGTTCTGCCCAGGGAAGGGACTCACTCTGATTTGCAGTTATGCTGTGTAAGAGAAATCACACCAAATCTTCATAATGGGGGTCACGGAATTTAGTTTTTCTTGCTGCAGAACTTGAGTTACTCTGGCATAGAACCCTGTGCTTTTCACACAGCATGTACAAGTCCTCCTGACCATTGCTTACCATAAGTGTTTACTTTTTAAAATTGGGCCTTATCAGATGATGATGAAGATGATGTATTTTGCACTATGTGAAACTCTTTGCTGTTTCAAAAGAATTCTATCCTGGTCTGTGTGCTTAACCCCCCACCCCAGTGTTATTGCCTTGAGGAATCAAGGGTTTAATTCAAAACTGAGCCTTAAACATACCCAGAATTGGAATGGATTTTCAGTGGGTGACAAAAGGTCCGTTTTCTTTGACTTCTGGTGAAAGATAAAGCAGTGCCCAAATGTGTGTTGTGTGTGGGAACTATATGCACATACACTCTGTATATAGCTGTAGAATCATCTAGATTTTTTTTTATATTGATAAGTTTGTAATGATAAGAGTGTCTTTTTAAACAAAGATGAGAATTATTAACCGTTGGGTAAAAGGCGTCTCGTTCTTTTAAGGCCACTGCACCCCCACCATTCCAACAAGAAGCTGATAACACCAATTTTTGGCAACCTTGATTTAACACTTGCCAGAATCAAAACTATGAAGTCTTATAAACCACCCAGTAGTAAATGCCATCCAATCTTGTCGTAACACCATTAAATATAAAATAGATGTACTCCGTTAGATCCAAAGTTTGGTTTCCAACAGCTAGGGCTGCCAGCTCTAAGCTGGGGGATTCATGGAACCTCAGATGGGTGGTGTTTTGGGGAGGGGGAGGGAGCTCAGGAGGGTATAAAGCTATAGAGACCACCCTCCAAAGCAGCTGTTTTCTCCAGGGGAACTGATCTCTGTCGTCTGGAGGTCAACTGTAATACTGGGTGATCTCCAGGCCTCACCTGGAGGTTGGCAACCATACCAACAAGACCATCAACACATCTGTGTCCCCACACCCACCAAAGCTCACTTAGCTCCCCAAAAGAGTCCTCTGCTGCCCAGGAACTTTCAGGGGACTGAGTGTGCTGCAGCAGGAAGTGGAGGCCAAGCAGTCCTCTTGTGTTGGTGGAAGTACCTCCTGTTAATGGAACACTTTGTCTGGATCTATCCCCACTATGTAGCAATCGGATACTACTGGCTATCAAACACGGGTGGCAAATAATTGAAGAATATGTGGTGAATATTCAAGGCCAAGGCAGGTGAGACAGAGGTCCACAAATGTATCTCTGCAGACTCTCGCTCTCCTTCCCAAGATTTAAAAATAATAATAATAATACTAATAATCCCTGCTTCCTTAAAGAAAAAGTGTTCTCTCACAAGGCTGAAAGGAAGCTTGTGGTATTTTCAAAATAGGGAAGTAATCATAAATATTAATGCTAAATGCAAACCATCTGCTCCTTATGACCTTGTAATATCTTTCATGTATGTATATTTGAATACTGCATGAAATATCCCCCCACACACACACACACACTCCTTGCCCGCGGCTGGGCACAAAAATCCCCGCATCACTTCCCAGCCTTGAGTGAAAGCACACTGTGCTCAGATTGTGGCAACAACCATTGTCAGACAAAACAGAAATGCTATCAGAAGGTACCTACTCAGACGGTGATGCTGTGCCCGTGACTCTCTTTACTATTAACACTCTACCCTGAGGCAGCTGTGGGCTGCTTATGTTCCTCCTACCTGCCTCAGTTTGTTTCCATCCAAACGTCTGTGAATAAATTTGACAGGCCTGGACCAAAGCATCAAAAAAGTATTTCCTTCCCATTATGCATACCAGATAGCTGTATTTGCAATACTAATGAATTGCAAAAGTGAGAGAACATAAGAGAAGCCATGTTGGATCAAGCCAATGGCCCATCCAGTCCAACCAACACTCCATGTCACACAGTGACCAAAACTCAGGTGCCATCAGGAGGTCCACTAGTGAGGCCAGACTTCAGAAGTCCTCCCACTGTTGTCCCCCAAGCACCAAGAATACAGAACATCACTACCCCTGACACAGTGTTCCATCTATATCTTACGGCTAACAGCCATAACTAGAACATATAATCAAATGCAGCTGAAGCCAAAATCTGAAGCCAATCCTGGCTAAGCACCTTTTTTGCATGTAAAAAAGGAGTTACAGATGCTGGATAATGACTTTCCATCAACAATTTCTGAAAGACTTCAAAGATTTGTCATCCGTGGGTTTCAGATTGTGTTCTGGAGAGCCTTCAAAAGCTGCTCAGGGATTCCGGAAGAAGTTTATTAGTAAAAACAGATAAACTTTCCTAAAAGTTCACTCACCACAACTTAACTTCCCCCACAATATGCGAGGTTTTGTTAGGTGCATTCCAGGTAGAATACAATATACAGAGAACAGTGACCGCAACCAGGCCTTTTCTGCTAACAGAGGGGACCCACACAGCCTCCTGTGATTTTGGGGAACCAGGTTTGTTTTGAAGCGCAAACTTCCCCCTCAGTTACCAGATGTTCTTTACGCAGCAAGAGTGAAGGCTTTGGGTTTGTCGCTGTGAGGTAAGCTTTGCGGTGAGCAAGTAGAACTCAGAGAGCACTGAGGCAGGTAAAGAGGTAAAGGTTCCCTTGCTCGAAAGCCAGTCGAATCCGACTCTAGGGTTGCAGTGCTCATCTCCGTTTCAAAGTCGAAGAGCCAGCGCTGTCCGAAGACGTTCTCGTGGCCATGTAGTCGGCATGACTGAACACCAAGGCGCACGGAACGCTGTTACCTTCCCACCGAAGTGGTAACTATTTTATCTACTTGCAATTTCTTGCTTTCGAACTGCTAGGTTGGCAGGAGCTGGAACTAGAGACGGGAGCTCACTCCGTCATGCGGCACACTCGGGTCTCGACCTGCTGAACTACCGACCTTCCACAGCCTGCAGTTCAGTGTCTTAACCACTTGAGCCACCGCAGCTCCACTGAGGCAGGAGCTGTATATAAATAACAGAGAGGATGTATTTATTTACAGGAAATTTTCGAACAACGGACCAGCAACACAGGTCCCCAGATAGTCAAAGGAGAAACCTGGCTGAGGCACATAAATTTAAGCTGGCTATGGCTTCAGAGTGTGGTTTCAGTTTTCTTTAATGCTTTCAGGCACAAACAGGCTTTTGGTGACTAGCCACAAAGTTGGATTCTCTCTCACACACACCATTCCACCCACATCAGCCTGCCCTTTCCAAGAGTCTAACTAAATGGTGCCAGGCCTGCTCATTGCCAGAGACAGACCTAACAACTGGGTACGCTATTCTCTCCCAAGAGGTAGAGCTAAACCACTCTGCCACACAGCCAGGGAGGGCTACACTTCTAACTGTCTGCTCTTTTGCTGAGCCAGACCTGAGCTATCTCTGCTCTCACCCTGAGACAGACCTCCGCTCTCCCTTGCCGTCCTTCCCTTAAGCATTTCATCCCCCTTCAGAAAGGTGATTTGGAGCCGCACTCTTATGGGCTCAGCAGAGTGGCTGTTTTCCCCTTCAGGGGCAGGACAGCCTCCTGTCTGTCACCGGGACCTTAATAAATAGGCCACTCATCCAGTTTACACGAAGTGAAAGGTAGGTCCGAACACTCCCGACCAATACCTCACGGAGGCTTGACAGCACACTCGATAACATGCCCCAGAATCCTCTGCAGCTCTTTGCAACTAGTTTTTTGGCAGATGTGTGAAGTTTCCTACTCTGTGAAGCCTACTCAGCAAAGAATGCATTCCCTGAAGATAAATTTTGAAACAAACAGGTGCAAAAAAAAAAAAAAAAACCCTCAGAGCAGCAGAACATTTGAATCCAGTCTCACACCCACCCTCCCACATCTGGATATGTGCTGCAAGATTCTTGTTCCTTCAGAGAGCCGTGTCAAGACCAAAAGGATTTTTTCCAGGGTTTCTTTAATCTTTCAAAACAGAAAAGACAGCAACAGGCAGTGTGCTCTTCTCTTTTCCTGCCACACCTGGTGTCCCAGCAGGGTTAGCACAGCACCAACATCTCAAGTCATAAATAAAGACCACCACACAGATGAGTTGATTTGCACCCATTGCTATATATTACCAGACCAGCTGATAACCAGCAAAATACCCCCACAAGAAAAAGCACAATAGATCAATTATTCCAATAACATTCCCATGAACGGCATCTACAGCAGGTTCTTCTTTTAAAAAATGCACACAGATTCTGGCTTCATTTAACATTTTGCATCAGAAATTACTTCTCCATCCAATGCTTTGAGCTAAACCTCATCCTAGAAACAGCTGTCCACCTGATTTATGGTGCACTTTTAAGAATTACAAGGCCTGTGGAGGACGTACCTGCTAGGGAGCCTATGTCAGCTCATCTCCAAAACAGACAAGCTTGGTCATCAACTGAGGGAGGAGCAACTGTTTTTAACTTGCGCAAACCAGTTCAAAGCAAGCCACCAAAAGTCCAAACAGTAAACCTGGTGCCACTGGCGCTCACGGCTACAACTCTGAAAGGGAGACGCTCCATTCTCAGCAAAACCCTTGTATTTTCCCATGGAGGCTTAAAAAAGAATGCCAATTTCTTTTTAGACACACGTCGTCTTTTTGGACTAGCAACTGATTTGATAAAAAGAGCCCAGAGAACATTAGTACAGGGCTAGGGGAGACACTGAACTGGAAGTATGAGATAACCAGTTTACATGCGCTTTAAATGAAAAGCAGGAGAAGATTAGAGAGGGATATAATAGGGATTAAACTAATGGATAGAGAAGGAGGACTATACAGCATTCTGCAAATGGGAAGCCATTAGAAATTCTTTGCAATTCTTCATCTTTTTTGGCTCTACTAGAGGAGAGCCAAGCTACTGGAACCATCGATGGCCTGGAGGAAGGTCCAGGATACAGGCCCAGTAAGGCCTCCAGCAGTAAGCAACATGATTCCTGACAATGATCCTTTGGGTGGGGGACCCTCCCCTTCTCTCAGAGCATGTGATTAACAAAATGAAAATCAGCAACCATTCATGTTCTGCGGCAGCAGAATGACAAAGAAAGGCCTGTGCACCTCTCCTAGCCCCTGTATATATTAATCTTTATAAATACAGTAATTTTACACGAAGAACTGTAGAAAGAGGTCATTCAAGGAGCCGTCTTCCTATGTAAGCATCAAACTCACTGTCCTGTTGAGTCCTCCAGCAGCTCAACAGATGTTTCTATGGTGCAAATCTTGTAAGCCAAAGAGATGGCCTACCGTTGAGGCCACACTTCTCAGAAGTCTGCTAGCTTGACTCGCTCAGGTTCAGCGTCTCCCCCACAAAAAACACAAGATGCGTCCAATCAATGTGATTTGTTTGCCCATCAAAACAGCACAGTAAGATCTCTGGAAGCTTCTAGGCCAAAAAATAAAATAAAAGGAACACAAGGCAGGTCCGGCTGTTGTGAGGGTCCCTCAGCCGAGCAGTCATAGTTCGTCCCTCGGAGACGACGCATCCAGTGAGGGCTGAGGGGCCAAGGCATCCTTGTTCTGGGCATCTGTGTGAATCTGCCCCTGCTGCCGTGATTTCCGAGAGAGCGTTCTGTCCCAGTCTGTGGCCACGGTCTCGTTGTCCCAGATGGTGGAGGTCTCGGTATCACTGAGGTAACCTGGCTGCCCAGTGTAATGGGTGGGATAGATCAGCAGAGGCTCTGCGGAGAAGGCTTTTAGGTCTCTTGGTTCATAGTACTCCATGTACTTGGCACTAAAGAGAAGAAGAAATACCATGAGAAGGGCACCATGGATCCAAAGCCACTGGAAGACTCAGGAGGATGAGCAGGGCTGCACTATCCATCTCCTGGTGGAGGTTATCCAACAGGGCAACCAAGACGGTTATAGTCCCACATTCAGGCCCGAAGCCAGACTGGAAAGGATCTAGATAGGTTGCTTCATCCAGGAAATCCTGGAGTTGTCCAGTCAACATCTGCTCTATCCCAAACAACTGGACAACTGGGCTGGCACCATCTGGTCCTATCGTTGCTAATGTAAAGTCTAAGCTGGTACAAATGAGAGACATTTTACCTGCAAGGTTCGAGTTCAGTAGCACCTTACAGACCAACAGAATCTCCAGGGTCTCTGCTTTCAAGGGTCAAAGAGGGACTCTAGAAGGCTTCTACCCTGGAAATCTTGTTGATCTTTAAGGTGCTACTAGACTTGAATCTTGGTCTGCTCCTGCAGACCAGCTCAGCTGCCCACATGAAACTAACTATCTGCAAAGTGGTCCCAGGAGGCCACCCAGCAGCCCACCCCCTCCTGCAGGCCCAATCCCAGGAGGCCTCCGACCATACAGAACAGCTCTGCTGGTTTATGCTATGCAGACACACAGGGGACTGGTTTAACTATCTGTTTCAACAATTGGCTGCTGAGAGAAGCAGCAGCATAGTGAAGACGGGAGAGAAGCAGAACTCCGCTGGGCTGTGTGGCAGCAGGCATATGCCGGAAAGCAAAATGTGTAAGGTGGCCAGGGGATTTGGGGAGCGGTCTGGGAGGGGGTGGGGCTGTCTCCGACACGATGATGTCGTGCAGTGTGACATCATCACATCGGGGACACAAAACCACACGTGCATGCCCCCCCCACTTCCCCCCCAAACATTAGCCATGAATTCGCGGGCCCCAAACAACCACAAATGGGTCAACAACCAGTCTGCTGAAACATCAGGTCCCTGTGTACGAGTGGCAAACGACATGACCTGAACCCACAGGAGTCTGAGCAGCCCTAATGCTAAAGTGTTAAGTTGTCACCTTCCTCTGTATCTGAGAAAAGTCAGGGTTATAATTTTTTTAAATTAAATAAATTTGGATATCCATAAGATCACACTGCTCACCCACCGTCTGTCTACAGTCTATTGTTCTCTGCATCAAGTTTCTAGGCCTTCCTATTAAAGCTCTCCAGAGTTTCTTTAACAATGTATGCCCACACTTCCACCGGACGTAATTCTACCTGATATGAATGCATCTTTTCTTCCCTAACTCCAGTTTCCTTGCTGTTCCTTATTCCAGAAACGATCCCCTCCCTTCCACTCGGTATAGGGTTGCCAGGTCTTCCCTGGGTCCCGACAGGGAGCTTCAGCCCGGCCCCTGGAGTCTTCTGGCATGTGCGCCACAATGACATCGCCCAGAAGTGATGTCATCACACCAGGCACGTCGTGCAGGGGATGCGCTAGCTAGAGCATCCCCTGCATGACGTGCCTGGCGCAATGATGTCACCTCCAGGGGACATCATTGTGATGGGCACGATGGGGCTCCCCCACCAGCCAGCTGGCCAGTGGCGGATTGGGGGCCCGGAAAACAGGGGAAACCCCACCCCCATGGGGGGGGGTTGGCAACCCTAATTCGGTAGGCCATTTCTGAAGTTGTCACAGCAACAATCGGATAAAAATGGAGCAAGAGATGGGGTGGCCTATTCTACCCTGACCTGAAATCACAGGCTCTGGTTGCCTAGTGGACAGCACTTGTTTACTCTGGGATGCATGTCGCCATACTGCTATGTGGCACGGCACAAATCTCACTGACAATGACCATGCAAGCTTGCCAGAGCAAACAACTTACACTGGGTGCTTGTTGTACATGACCGGCAGGAATTCATCCACTGGCAACATCTTGCCGAACGGCTGAGCGTCAATCAATTTCTGAGCCCCCTGCAAGGAGATGGCGTAGCCGAGCGTCCAATAAGAGTAATCGGCTTCCACAAGGTTCATGACGTTGGGAACAGCCTTCTCGGGACGCTCCACTTGCATCCGTTTCCGGCCAATGTAACTAGAACAAAAAGACAGATTTCTGCCATGTAAGTGATGTTCTTTTTCTATAGTGCCCTGCGTATGTGCATCACAATACTTAAAGTTGTAGCATTTGTGGAACCCAAGCAAGGGTGAATCTCATCAGTGTCTTAGTGGGGAACCGCTGAGAGACCCACACAAGCTTCTCTCAGTCAAAGGAAAGGGTGAAGTGTATTAAATGTACAGGCAGGCACAGAAAGACAGTCTGCCATAAAACCCCAAATTCCGAGCCATGGAAACTCAAAACCCAAGAGAAGCCACCTTCCAAAATCTTCAGGAGTTGTATTTCCAGGCAGGAAGTTCAGTAGAGGGTCAGGGTCAGTTATTCTCTAACTATGTGCTGCAATAACCCAAGCTGCCCATCTATCTCTGCACATTTCAACAGTTATGGTCCTGTCTCCTTCCAATTAGCTCCTGCTGGGGAACGGGGATGTAATTCTGCTGCATTTCTGCACTACATGTGATTGGCTCAGTCATTCCCCTAAGAGGAGCCCAGCCGTTGTGTCTTGCATGAGTCACTGTTCTGGATTAGTCGTCTTCAAATCAGTCTGCGCTGGTGAGAGGTAATTCTGCTATGGCTCCAAATCAGATGTGAGTCCAAAATTCCCAATGCAGAAGAATCCCCTGCTTGTAGAGGAGGCTGCCTGTTGCCTCTCTTCACAGATCACCATTCTGTCTTGCCTCCTTCTGCGTGAGTCAAGAGACATGTCCAGATCCCGACTCATGCTCAAACATGACAGGAAATTCTGACTCTTACAAAGCAAACCTTTGCAGAGGCCAGACGGAAGCATGCCTATGATTCTAATTTGTAACCACCCATCCTTTGCAAGGCAGTTTTAGCCAAATCACGCAAGCCAGGTCCCACCACCACCTTCACTGCACAATGCTTTTTTGAAAGCTGGACAGAATTCCTGGGCAATTAGATATATTTGGTGACTGGTACACATCAGGGAGCATCAAATAGGTTTATAAGGAGTCACAATTATTCCAAGCAATTGAAATTCTTGCACAATGAAAACCTGTATCCAGGGCACAGAGCTAAACATGAGGCATAAAGGCTCCGGTTGGCCTTAATTAAAGGTTTCTGCATCAGGCCTGAATCTCCCCCTCTGAATGCAAGTAAAAGAATTCAGCTACGGTATTTTTAATGGCTGTTATCCTCTGACCAGGGATACACACAAAGGCAGCCAGTGCACTGCTTATTTTGCTAGCCATTTAAGAGCAAGCGTGACTCCATACAGTGGACAGCAGTAACAGGCTCTGCTCTCTGGTCATCCAAGGAGGCTTTTGCTACAGGAACCTGCAATGGCAAATGTTTCATCTAGCAAGAACCTGTGTGAAGGCCTTCTTGGCCATTTCCCCAAACCTCTGGAACTGCCTACCTCAATCTTCTCATGGGATGGCTTCCCCGTGCCAATTAATTTTTGTTAATTATTCCAGAAAGCCATTTTTAATTGCTTTTCCCACCTTGGTCCCATTGACCTCTGTTCTCTACCTCTCTCACACTCAGACAGACCATGAGTTTCTCGGTTTAAAAAAAAATGTTGTAAGCTACCGTGTTTTTAAATGGAAAGACAACATATAAATGATTTAAATATATAAATTCAGAGGCTACACTGGAACCATCTCAATGAGGGACACCCCCATCACAGCCCCACAAGGAAACAAATACAAAAGCTTTCTGTTTAGATTACTTCACGGTACTTATGCAAGGGCTGGGCAATTCCTAGGTCTTTTGGTCAGCCCCCTTTCCACTTCAGTTCTGCCTCCCATGGACTACTCTTAAGCAGTGTTCCCTCTAAGCTGAGTTAGTGTGAGCTAGCTCACAATTTTTTAGCCTCCAGCTCATACATTTTTGTCTTAGCTCAGGAAGGAGGGCTCCATAGCAAACCAGTTCATGCAGTAGCCAAATCGCTCGCTCACAACTTTAATGCCAGTAGCTCAGAAAGCAATTTTTTTGCTCACAAGACTCCACAGCTTAGAGGGAGCATTGCTCTTAAGTGCCATGGAAAGAAGCCAGGGGGACTGCAATTTACTTACATGAGTTCCCAGTCGAGCTGGGCTTTCTCGATGTCGTCCATCAGCTTTGTGAGCTTCTTCTTGAACTGATGCTCAAAGCGCACGTCGTCTTCAATGACCAGGGTCTTCTCCATCTCCCTGTCCACCACCTAAGAGGAACACTTTGAAAAGTCACTGGAAGAGACTTTATACTCAATGCCCAAAACGCATTGTAAAGCTGACAGAAAGTATGCCTACAGCAGTCTATTTCAAGGTTATTTATGTGGTACAAAATTGATTTAAGTAACTGAATGGTGTTTAGGATGACCAGCGTCACTGAGAACTTTGTAAGGTGGAAAAAGGTGGAGGCACATTTTTAAATAAATACATAATCAACGACAAGGCAGTTCAGCTGGACGTTTTCTAATCAGTCGACAACAGAAAAGAGAAAGGAAGAAAGAAAGACACGCTGCTAATGGAAGGAGGACCAGAGAAAGCAAGATGGGTAGCCGTGTTTGTCTGTAGCAGTAGAAAAGAGCAAGAGTCCAGTAACACCTTAAAGATTAACAAAATATGTGGCAGGCAATGCTCCCTCTAAGCTGTGGAGTCTTGTGAGCAAAAATTCTACTTTGTGAGCTCCTGGCATTAAAGTTGTGAGCGAGCGATTTGGCTACTGCATAAATTAAGTTTGCTTTGGAGGCATCCTTCCTGAGCTAAGACAAAAATGTGTGAGCTGGAGGCTTAAAAACTGTGAGCCAGCTCACACTAACTCAGCTTAGAGGGAACACTGGGGGCAGGGTAGGAGCTTTCGTGAGTCACTGCTCACTTCTTCCGATACCACCACTTCAGATAGCTGAAGAAGGGAGCAGTGACTCTCAATAGCTCCTGCCCTGCCACATATTTTGCTAGTCTTTAAGGTGCTACTGGACCCTTGCTCTTTTCTACTGCTGCAGAGAAAGCAAGAAAAGCTTATGAAGGCTTGTCACAGGAATGAGAGAACGGTCCTGCTAGCCAGACTTCCCCAGCGGCCAACCAAACACCTCCAAGAAAGAGCGGTGGCATTTCTCTAGCGCTTCTCTCCAGCACACGGCCTTCAGGTGTATCCCGGCTCTGGGATGCCACTGAGCTCTCTCAGCCATTAACCATTCATACGACGGCCTTCTAAGAGTTTATCTCATCCTGTTCAAAAGCCGTCGAAGCAAACGAGCATCAACACAACTGTTCAAATCAGATGCTAAACAAACCCATGTCGATTTGTTCTCCGATGCTCAAACAGAACGTACCTGAAATGAGGAATGTACTAAGCGTCCAAGGGACTGAACACGGAAATTATAATAGTATCAGAGGGTAGCTGTGTTGGTCTCCAGTAGAACAAATAGATTTGAGTCCGGTAGCACTTTAGAAACCCACAAGATTTTGGGGAGGTATGAGGTTTCGGGAGTCAACGCTCCCTTTGTCATCAACCAGCTACCACCTCTCCACATGACAGTTGCATCAGCAGCTACATAGGGAAGCCACACAGACTTACCCATCAGTTAAAACCATCAGTTAAAGGTCTCTGTTCCCCCCCCAAAAAAAAAACAATTCTGCCTGTTATTGTGTGTGTGTGTGTGTGCTAAGTGCCATCAAGTCGCTTCTGACCCATGGTGACCCTATGAATTAAAGTGCTCAGGAAAGCTATTTCATAATGCAGGTGCCACTAGTGTGGGCCCCGTCTGTTCACACTCATCCACAGGAAGGCACAAGAAGCAGATCTCGGTAAGAGGCATGCAGTGTCACATGGGGACATACCGGGAGAGGGAGTCCGGCAAACATTTGGGTCCTACATGCCATCATCAACAGCCTTGTTTGGTGTAGTGGTTAAGTGTGTGGACTCTAATCTGGGAGAACCGAGTTTGATTCCCCACTCCTCCACTTGCAGCTGCTGGATGACCTTGGGCAAGCAATAGTTCTGTCAGAGCTGTCCTTAAAAGAGCAGTTATTGAGAGAGTTCTCTCAGCCCCACCCACCTCACAGGGTGTCTGTTGTGGGGAGGGGAAGGGAAAGGAGTTTGTAAGCCGCTCTGAGACTCCAAGTGAAGGGCGGGGTATAAATCCAATCTCCTCCTCCTCCTTAGTCTCAGCAAGTTCAGTCTGCCAGTCCTTCCAGCCAGACTGAGAATGGGCAAAGCACCTCATAATAACAGTCAAGAAAACCAGAAATATACGTCACCTCCTTCCATATGTAGTAGTGGCTCAGGAAGCAGCCAATCTCCCCTCTGGTCAGTACCCTCGAGGAGTAAGGATCCCGGTAACCAGGAAGCATGTCTATGTTGAGGGCTTTGAGTTGGCTCGTGTTCAGGGCCCTGCAAGACCATGAGAATGAAACCGTTTGACCGCAGATCGGTAGGATGACCTAGATCCCTTATTTTTGCTCAATGCTCCCCAGCATTAAAAATTCCTGCCAAATTAAAAACAACAACATTCTATTTGCTTGGGAGCATTCAAACATGGTCATTCAGAAACACTCAGGAGGTGACAAACGCTCACCGTACTCTCCCTTGTAGCTTCTGCCTTGTCTGAAATTCACAGAATTTGACCCAAGTAGAATTTAACTGGACTTGGAACATTTCACGTGGGAGAAAAAGCCATTGTATTGTCAAATCCTACAATACAATGGTTGAGCCCAGTGTGACCTCTCGGGGTGCTTCCTCCAGTGCAAGAGCTCTTCGTGGTAATTACCCCTTATGCATTATTTCTCTGTAGGGCCTTCCCACCTTCCCAGTATAACAGCATTAGCAAGATACAGTCAGTCTCCCCTCATGCTGTTTTTGAGCATGACACCTGGCGAGTGGCATTTCAGGAGGCATTTTGGGTTCCAGCAGGAGTGGGAAGGCAAGGAAGGTATCTTCTGCAGATAGTAATCGTTTCTGTCTGTTGAAAGCACCAGTGGATCCAAACCAGCATTTCCAGACATACTGAAGGAGAAACGTGCCTCAAATACATGCTCCATTATGGTGAAGTATTCACTTTGATGAAAATAATTCAACTAGACTGTCAAAATAGTGCAAACCTTTGTGCCAGGCAGCATGTAAACCTTCCACAAGCACAAGGGGCAGCAACTCAAAACTCACTTTCCATCTACAGCTTCTACCAGCTTGACCGCAATTTCCTGCTCATACAATGTTCGTAACATTCGGTCTCGCCTGTCCTTCCGACGTTTCAGATTTATCATGAAAATCTAGAGGGAGAAGGAGAGAAACCAAAACTTACAATATAAATGTAGACAAGGGGGAGTGCAGTGTGAGAAGACGGTGGGTAATTTTCAGGTCTCCCCTTGTTTGGGGAAGAGGGCAGCAAAACGTATTGCCTTGAAGGTCGTAACTCTCAGCCTGTCCAGTGAAAATAGATGGCAAGGACAGGCTGCGAGGGAAACAGATTTCCAAAAATTCGTGAAATTTATGAAACATGAAAGGGGTTGGATGGACAACTAGGGGCTGTTAGAATATTTCCTTCCCCCACCAGTGTCCCCTCTAAGCTGAGTTAGTGTGAGCTAGCTCAGTTTTTTAGCCTCCAGCTCACACATTTTTCTCTTAGCTCAGGAAGGATGACTCCAGAACAAACTGATTTATGCAGTAGCCAAATGGCTCGCTCACAACTTTAATACCCGTAGCTCACAAAGTAGAATTTTTGCTCACAAGACTCCACAGCTTAGAGGGAGCATTGCCCCACACCCCAGGATTCACTTGGTGCCTCCTCCCCACAGCAAGGGTCATTCCGTAGTTTGCTCCAAGCCTCTCTCCAGGCAGAATCCCAAGGGGGAAGCTGAATCTAAACAGGCCCCAAATGTAGTTTTTAGTTGGGGAATTGGGTTCTATTTCCCAGCTGCCTGAGAACTTCTTTCTGGGACACCACATAGTTCAGCAGTATTCACAGCTGGTGTGGTGTAGTGGTTAATGTGTCAGGTAAGGACTTGGGAGCCCCCAGTTCAAATCCCACCTTAGTTGTAAAGCTCAAGGGCAGCTTAATCCTAAACAGAGCTGCACCCTTCTGAGTTTACTGCATCCACTGGCTCAGAGAGGTAGAACTTTGCTTAGGATAGTACTGTGGATGACCTTAGACCGGCCTCCTTGACCAAGATTGGTTTGAGGAGACTGCTGAATAAATTGCGTGAGTACTGCAATGCGGAAGGCTTGCAAATAAATTATGCCAAGTCAAAAGTCCTGGTTTTTAGGAAACGCCCAAAGAAATCTACCTGGAGCATTCTTGGCACCCAGACTGAACAATGCAGCACGTATAAATATCTGGGTTTAACCTTCTCTGAAACTCTCTCCTGGCACCCCCACCTTACATCATTAAAAGCTGCTACTATGAAGAATTTGAGGGCTCTACTGAAGTTCTACTTTTCTAAGGGAGGAGGCATGGTAGACCCAGTCCTTAAACTGTATCAGAGTAAGATAATTCCAGCCATGCTATATGGATCAGAGATCTGGGGCTGGGGAGATCAGATATTGTCCTCATTAGAAATAGTAC